GTGCAGCGCTAGAGCGCTGCAACAGGCAGCAAAAACGCATATTGCAACGACCCTGCCAGTGTGTGTCCGGGTATTTCAACTAGCTAACCACGCATGCTTTGAAGCTGAACTTTTGGCAGTGTGTTCCCCAGCTAGGTACCACCCCAGGACCGCGGTTTCAACCTTCAAGCGCGTCTGGGCCCCACTTACGGCACGTGAAAGTTTTGGCGCGAAAATCGCTAGCTCGGGAACGAGAAAAGCTAGAAAGCTGAAACTCTTAGTCAGGTACCATCCAGGATCGCAGTTTCAACCCTCACACACGTCTGGGCCCCGCGTACGGGCGGTGAAAGTTTTGGCGCGAAAATCGCTAACTCGGGAACGAGAAAAGCTAGAAAGCTGAAACCTTGGGCGAATGTTCCCTACCCATGTATGACAAAAAGATTTCGAATTCAGCTGCCCAGGAGTGTCTGAGGCTTACGTACGGGCACGTGAAAATTATGGCGGGAAAATTCATAACTCGAGAATGAGAAAGGAAGTTGAAACTTTGGGGGAATGTTCCATACTCATGCGCGACAAGAAGCTTTCAAACTCAGCTCCTTAGGACCGCCAGGGGATCACGTACGGGTACGTGAAAATTTTGGCGCGAAAGTCACTAACTGGAGAACGGGAAAAGCTAGAAAGCTGAAACTTTAAGGGAATGTTCCTATTCATGTACGAGCAAAATCAGGTGTTTAGAAGCGCTCGAGCCCATGTGCGAGCGCGTAGGAATTTTGGCGTGAAGATTGCTAACCCGGGAACGGGAAAAGCTAGGAAGTTGGAACTTTCGGGGGATTTTCCCTACTTATGTACGAGCAAAATCAGGTGTTAAGAAGAGCCCGTGCCCACATACGAGCGTGTGGGAATTTTGGCGCGAAAATTACTAACCCGGGAACGGGAAAAGCTAGAAAGCTGAAACTTTAGGGTAATGTTCCCTACTCATGTATAACCAAAAGATTTTAAATTCAGCCCCTTAAAACCGTTCAGTACTCACGTACGGACACGTGAAAATTC